TGTTATACTGCTGCTTGGTTGCCTTGACCCATATAGTAATTAGTGACTATCGGCCACTATGGCTGGAAGTCTTGCTGAAAGGTGGCTGCAATCAAACCAGTTACACAATAAGCAACTTGAAGTCTGAGCTGACCCTTAAAGTGAATCACTCATCAATGGGCATTAGTTACAATCATAAACACTATTCTTAAATTGGTATAATAGCGCAGTCTTGTATTCTGTCCAGGTCAAAGCAGAAAGTTTAGTTCAGTGTCAAGCTGTGAAGCACTTATGGAGACTGACCGGTTTCCTGCCTGAGCTCAGGGCTGGTAACCGGCCTTAAAACTGTCCGTTACAAAGCCTTTAGTTTCCTTTCATGTAATCCTGACCGTACCTTTTCTATATAAAGTTTTTTGTTTGTCTTCTACCAGCACAGAGCTCAGGCAGGAGTTAGGACAGCGCTATAGATTCACACTCCTGCTGTACAGGGAGAGAATACAAGTAAATAATACAAAACTGTAATTCTAGGAGGAACAAAATACACTATTCTAATAATTTTTAAGGGTGAAGATACAGATTATTAGAAATACCAATGAGTAGCAGGGTATCTGTTGAACCCCACATAGTCACCTGACCATAAACCTGGCTCTGCTACCTAAAATGTGAATAATTATTTTCCAAGCTTGTTAAAATCTGTTATTTTTATGTAAGTTTAAATGTTTGTATCTGAGCTGCAGAAAGAATAATTCTACTGTTGTTTCACTTGTATTACAGCACACAGATTTATGTCAGTACATGGATAAACACCCTGGAGGGTTGCTTCCTGACAACGTGAAGGTAAGAAGTCCAGTGAGCTGGAGATTCAATTTTATACACTGCTGATATCAATTTAAAGTCGACCTAAAGAGAGTCTGAGATAACTGTCTGGATGAGACTGATAAGTAAGAGTCAAAAATAGGCTAAAATGATTTCCTCCCCAGGGAACAATGCTGCCTCGGATTCTCTCCAGTCCTGCTCACTTAACCAGAAGCCTAGGACTTTTAGGTATGAGATTGCTTATTAGGAAGGGCGGTCAGCATTCAGATCCAGCAGAGATCATGTGACCAAAGACCTATAGTCATGGCCAAAAATATTGGCACCCCTGCATTTCTGTCAGATAATGCTCCACTTTGCGCAGAAAATTGTTGCAATTACAAATGTTTAGGCGTTCTCATGTTTATTTCGTTTGTTTGTATTGGTATGACACAAAAGTGGAGAAAAAAAAAAAGCCAAATCTGACACATTCCACGCAAAACTCCAAAAATGGACTGGACAAAATTATTGGCACCCTTAATTAATATTTGGTAGCACAGCCCTTGGAAAAAACTAACTGAAATCAATGGCTTCCTGTAACCATCAATGAGTTTCTTACACATCTCTACAGGAATTTTGGACCATTCTTCTTTCACCAACTGCTCCAAGTCTCTCAGATTGGAAGGTTCCATTTCCCAAATGCTGTTCTGAGATCTCTCCACAGGTGCTGTATGGGAGTCGGATCTGGACTCACTGCTGGCCAGTCGAGTACTCTCCAGCACTTTGTCTGAAACCATTTCTGGGTGCTTTTTGATGTGTGCCTCGGGTCATTGTCCTGCTGTAAGACCCATGACCTCTGACGGAGACCCAACTTTCTGACACTGGCTCCTACATTGCAACCCAGAATTATTTGTTAGTCTTCAGATTTCATAATGCCATGCACTCAGTCAAGACATCCAGTGCCTAAAGCAGCAAAGCAACCCCAAAACATCAGTGACCCCCCATTGTAGGGACTGTTTTTTTTTCTTTTAAAGGCCTTATATGTTTTTCTGAAAACAGTAGAATGATGGGCTGCACCAAGATTTAATTTGGTTTCCTCAAAAAGCTGTTAATTTTGTGTCATACCAATACAAACAAAAGAAATAAACACGAGAATGCCGAAACGTTTGTAATTGCAACAATTTTCTGAATTAAGTGGTGCAATATCTGACAGAAATGCAGGGG